AATGATGATACTGTAGAAACGCTCAGCGTGACAGGAGTGCCTTCAGATTTCAGAGGGGGGGTAACGATTTCCAGTGCGTCTGAAATACACTTGACACCTCAAACAAAAAGTAGAACATAGATGTATGCCGTGTTGAAGTTTTGCCATCCATAAATAATCTTTGATACACGAACCACACTGTCCGAAGCCACCCCCTCTTCGTCCCAGGTTTCCCTCGCATTTGTCTGATATCTTCCACACAGAGTGGAGTGAGGTGTTTTCCGACATTTTTAGGTTACCTCAGAATCAGATACCATGATATTGTGGAGGCAAAACGGTGATGATGCAGGAAGCTGATATCACTGGTGGTGATGCCCAAATGGCTTCCAATAAAAGTGAAACATTTTTCTTTGGGCTTAACTTACTCCTGAACCGAGCGGCGGTGTCAAACGTTAAAAATGTGTCCGAAGCCTCCCAGCTCTCCTTTGTTGATCAGGTTCGATACTCGCTTCTTTGGCCCACATTAACATATATAAAAGGCATGATGAATAGCTTCTAAGTTCTATCTTATATGCGCCCCCCCCAAAAAAAAAAAAAACCAAAAAAAAAACACCCAACCAACCCAAACAAACAAAGACAAAACAAAATAAAAGAGATAGGCAAACAAATACTGTATAGCATTTCCGCCTCCTCTCACAATCCAATGTTGTTGTTTTTTGTTGTTGTTGTTTTCTAAAGACGAGAGGAATCAAGCCTCTATGATAAAATGGTTCTAAAAAAATCTTCGCTTCCTTCCTCGCCAAAGGACAGAAACGGTAGTTCTAAGTTATGGGACGGTGCTACTAAAATTCCCATCTCTTCAGATTCTCCAAATACACAATTTCTTGTGTTATTTCTGCTGTGTTCAGCTTGTTCATAGGATCTGGTTTTATTGTCTACGGACAGACATCTCATAGGGATCATCTACTGAATTCTGCACTCTGGTGACGGATTAAAGGGGTGCGAACGGTGTGTGTTTGACCTGAAGTGGTCGAGGTTTTTTTTGTCTGGGAATTTTTAACTCTGATTCTCTACAGGACCTAATTGATGGACCATTTCCACTCTTGACATCAAAGAATGCCTTAAGGGCACTTTAACATTATTTCCATACCTTGCACAAAACTTACGAAATGAGTTGGTGGTGAGGAAATATTCAAATGCAAAAAGCTCTCTGCTCTTTACTAATTTTAACCATGACCGCAGCATGCAAAGGAAACTTGAGAAAAACTATCTGCAAACTTTTGTTGGCCTGTTAGACTACTGTAGTATCTGACCTCATGGTCTCGCAGTAGCTCAAAACGGCCAAAAATGTCTGATGGAGCTTTGTACTTCCAAGGTAGCGAATTCTTAGCTGGTTGGCCTAAGGCGTTGCTCTTTTGGAGCAAAGATCTGGTTGGCGCTCGTATGACCTTATGCAGTTGCGAGCGCCGTAAAACTTCTACTAAAACTAAACTAAACTAAAAGATCTGGTAGGTCTACTCTTGGTCAAGGGCACAGCCCAGTGGCCACCCCTCTGAAACTGACTGAACTAATCTTGTCCTTCCATCAATATTTCCAGGCAATTCTGAATCCCACTAAAAAGGCCAGAGTCTTTCCACAAAATGACTTTTTGTTAGGTGGGGGTTTTTTTGTCTAGCAGAGTGATAGATTTCATATCGGCACGTGTGTCGCATCGGTTAGGTGCTTCGCTCTTACACACAGAAGACCAAAGTTTAATTCTTTTTATAGAGTATCTCAGTCTTTCTGCTGGGATGTGGTATCCCTCTCAGCTAGGATTGACCCAGACAGTCAGGGTTGGAATCCCACCTCCTAAATGATCTAAAGTGTGTTGATGGGGTTATTAAAACACCTGCATGAAAAAAAAATCGATCAGAAACTGACAAACGAAGAAGGATGCTCCTTTTAAAATAAATTCCGAGTTGTCTGTTTGTTCAGGGTACCATAGCTGTGGAGCTGTTGGAGCAAGTGCCTTTCCTGGACGCTATCCTGGTCCCCGTCAGTGGAGGTGGGATGTCCTCGAGAATCTGTATCGCCGCCAAGACCATCAAACCGGACATCAAAAGTAGGTCAAAGTCGGTGCACTGTTCAAGATGCCTTTGGTGAGGTTATGTTTATCAATTTGTTGACATACTGTCATTTTCTGCTCTAGTTTGATTTCAGATAATGTTTACATCAGATATTACATTGGCATGGATAATATTTATGCTCAAAGTTGACCAAGACATCCACCCATTACCAAGGATAAAAGTGATTGTCTTAGACGAGTGGATGTCTTGGACAGTGTCATTAGAACAGGCCTATAGGCACCGTGAACGTTGAAATCTATTATAATCTATTTGTGGTGGCCGAATTTTGCTATTCAAAAGGCTTTTTAATGGCTGCATCGATCAACATGCGGTTTTCGCCGAAAGATTCTTTAAAATATTCTCCAGATCATGACGCCCTTCGTTTTTTCAGTTTTTTGACAGGTTTGCGGCAAAAAGCTAAATTTCTTTATTTCGTCGATCGCATTGGTAGGCCGACGCTTCAGTCTCTGTATTTTAGAAAAGGAGGTTACCGTTCACTGACCGTGCGCACTGTTTTGAGAGTATAGATCCAAACCTTCTAATTTTTGCATCTCTCAAGATTTATTGCTCCATTCCAGTAGAATGTAAATATCATAAGCCAATGACTTTCAGCTGACGTTAATGCACCGATCATTCCTTTCACCGAAAGGGGGCCCAGCTAGTCTTATATATAGGTGGCTGGTGAGCGCCCTGGTGTGGTTTGATCCTTCTTTCCTATCCAACATCTGACATTTTGATCTTTGCTCTTTCTTTTCTTTGTAAGTTGTTCTCTTGCAACACCACTAATCTACGCCACTTACGACCTATTTGAGTTCCAAGTACTGCAAAACTCTTACTAAAACTAAGCTCACATTTTAAATTTTTCAGTATTCATCGTGGCTCTTAAATAAAGGGACGCAACTGGAAGAATGTTTGAGAACAGGAAGGTAGGTGCACCATGAAAAAGATTCAAACTGTTAGTCAGACGCACAGAGCCAAAAGCCAGACTGAGTATTTGAGAGTTCCCAGCGAAAGCATATATTGGTAGCAGAACAGTTGGCTGATAGTTCCTCACTGTGGTGTTTTGAGTGAGAAATGCGAAATGCTCTAGGCTTTTGCCGTCTAAGTCACAATATTATTCTGATTACACTGTATTGTAATTTGTCTTTGAAATGGGAACCATGGTGCAAGGGTATTTTTGTCAAAATTGTGGCACTATGGTGCAAGGGTATTTTTGTCAAAATTGTGGCACTATGGTGCAAGGGTATTTTTGTCAAAATTGTGGCACTATGGTGCAAGGGTATTTTTGTCAAAATTGTGGCATCATGGTGCAGGGTATTTTTGTCAAAATTGTGGCATCATGGTGCAGGGTATTTTTGTCAAAATTGTGGCACCATGGTGCAAGGGTATTTTTGTCAAAATTGTGGCACCATGGTGCAGGGTATTTTTGTCAAAATTGTGGCATCATGGTGCAAGGGTATTTTTGTCAAAATTGTGGCATCATGGTGCAAGGGTATTTTTGTCAAAATTGTGGCACCATGGTGCAAGGGTATTTTTGTCAAAATTGTGGCACCATGGTGGGCACTATTTCATTAGGTCAAAAAACCAAAGTCACAGAGATACTATGTACATTGTCTTTTGTCCCGGTCTCTTGGAAAACAACCCTAAAAAATTTAGGAGGTTTTTTTGGCCTTGCGAAAAATTAGAAAAACATTGAGATTGGCAAACTGGAAAAGATGCGTAGATCTAGTGAAAGAATAAAACAGTGTACAAACAAAGAACAAAACATTTTTTTTTGTACCAAGATTGATTTTATTTTGAGAACCCACGTACAGAACAACAAGAAACAATGTATTTATGAAATTTTCAAGATAAAACTATTCAACTTTCTGTATTACAGATTTGGTAATGATGATACTGTAGAAACGCTCAGCGTGACAGGAGTGCCTTCAGATTTCAGAGTACCTTAAGTACTCAGAAGGCCAATTTAATTTTAATTCTTTGTATTTATGATTTATAAACATCAGTACCTCAGTTTAAAATCAACTTGTACTTAATGTAAGGGTAGCTAATTCAGTAATAGAGATCTTTTCAAAACCTGTTTCAAGCAATTTGAGGTACATGTACTTGAAATTAGAAAAAATATCTGTATGAATATTTCAAATTATTTTTGAGAGTTATTTTGCTTCATTTTTAAGTTGATAGAACCAATGTGTGTCCCAGCAATAAGAAACAACTGATGCATGATAGCAATTGAAATTTTATAAAAGGTACATTAGATCTCCTGAAGTTCCAATATAGATAGAAACCGATATAATATCAACTGAAATCCCTCTACATTCAGGAGATTTGATGGGAAGGCAAACAACGATAAAAAACGCTGCAACAATGGAGCTCATTTAGTACGAATATATGAAGGCTTGGATAAACATCACACAATGATAAAAGTTATTGATCCCACTTTAAGTTGAAGAAAAGAGTAATTTTTCGATAGTAGTGAAAGAAATGATGTCCGTCAGCAATGTGCAGTGAGGAGGCGGAGATTGACTTGAGAAACATGGAGGAATGAAATGATCGTGCTCAGGAGCTAGGTCAGTAAAAGTGTATGAATGATGAAGTGAAAGTCAAGGGAAACCCATCCTTAATTCTGTCAGAATATGTGTATGATGATATATCTGTGATGCAAGAACTTTGAGTCAAATGTCAGTCTTTTTCTTTAAAATCTTGAAACGATGTAATCATGATAAAAATAAAGTAGCCAAATGAAAATTCCGATTACATATTTATTTGTCATTGTGTTAGAAAAATCTGGATTAGCTGTCTTTATGGCATATTTCTTGATCTCTCACTTTTTTTTTTCGCACTAAGGTAGACTTATTGAGAATTGTTTTCATGAAAAAGAAATGAGTCTCCAGAATTATTTGTCACATAAATTTGATCATGATACCAGGTATTCACCTTTGTATTCGAATCCTTAATGATAACAAAATATACAAAAGGTAAAGAAGACGTATATGTTATTTTTTTGCCCTTTGAGTCAATTAGTTAAAACAAACCATTGAAAAATCTGGAGAAAATAATAATCAATTAATCTTTAATGGAAAATAGTGATTTTCAGGTGATTTACTTTTTTGGATCAATTCTTTTTGTTAAAGTCAAGAATTTGGGAAGTCTAAGCGTACACCCGTTTATGATGATTTTTAACACTGTCTTTCGTCCGATGAGTGGTTATGAAGATTTTTCTCAATGCAAGATAGAAATAAAACCTGTAAATGTCATTTGAAAAGCTTTGGAACTTTCATAAACATGGGTTCCTGGGATGACAGGCGACTTTGAGAAGGAAATCTGTGCTATGTTTTTTACATTAGGTAAAAGTTATCAATAATAGAGAAATAAAGAATTCGTTTTCCTCTTTATCAGATGCTGTGGGTAGGACAAGGGTGAAGTGTGGAGGTGAATGGTAAAGATTTTTTTTTTTTTCAAACCAGATCTCAAGGAGTAACGAGCAAAAAAGAGAGCATTGACAACATCATGTTCTTGGAAAAGTTGCTGATAATCTTGATCTCCATGGTGCCATGAACTCATAAGATCAGTCCAGATAATCCTCCTGCACCCGCTGGAAGCATCCATAATCTATCCGTGTGGATGACCGTCGGCATTTCCATGCACTTTGAGCATGTGCTCCGCGTACCTGGAAGATGAGGAAGAGAAAATGGCAACCATCTATTAACTAACTGTTTCTCAATCACTGACTAAGAGAGTGTGTTGTGAATGATTCCCAATGAGTACAATTTATGCATGTGTGTGTATGGGTGTGTGTGTGTGAGTGTGTGTGTGTGTGTGAGTGTGAGTCTGTGTGTGTGTGTGTGTGAG